TTACTGGACAACTAAGGTTGTGTGTCAAGAGGGGCGAGGGTCTGACTCGACCGGTCTGGCCAGGCCTTTGAAGAGGCGTCGCGTGGAGGTGACAGAGTCCCACACAGCTGTTAGCCAGTTCCCTCATTCTCCGGAAGTTCCTCACTTCAACCCACGACAAGACCGCGGGACACTGTTTGAAGCCCTGAGCCTTAGGGGTATTTGGAAATAGCTTTTAATTCTTGGGCACTTTAATTCCTAAGCAACAGCTAAAGGGATGATTTTTGCTAAGGTTCCCAGTTCAGTGTAGGAGCATCTGTGGCGCAGTGTTTGTTCCCTGCGGGACGGGAGGTCTGGGGCTTCCTAGTCCGCGGTATGCCGCCTGGCATGACTTGTGGAAGGAGGCCGCATCTTGGCTTTCTTCTGGCTGGCTCTTAGGACTGTAACCGTTTGGGATTTTGGTAGAAACCACAGCAAGGAGCCTGAAAGTTAAGCTTTTAAGGAGGGGTTCAGAAGTCAGCCAGGCTAAAGTCTCCCTAAACCCTAAACCTAAACCCTAAACCCTAAACCCTAAACCCTAAACCCTAAACCCTAAACCCTAAACCCTAAACCCTAAACCCTAAACCCTAAACCCTAAACCCTAAACCCTAAACCCTAAACCCTAAACCCAAGGCATCTGACTTCAAAGCCTTCAAGGCGCGACCTCCTGCACGCAGCCACCAGCTCCGCTTCTCTCAGGGCGAGGACCTGCTCCGCACCCTGTCGGGCGAGTCCAAAGCGCCTAGGTCCCAGAGGAGGGCCCTTATTCATTCACCTTTTTCTAGTGGTTCAGGGTTTAGGGTTTAGGGTTTAGGGTTTAGGGTTAGAAGCCTCCGTAAACTAAAAAGGGGGCACCCTTTATGTTCCTGCGTTACTCTTGGGTCCAAGGCGCATACCCCGGACGTCCGGTACAACTTCGGGGTCGGCCAGACGGCGCTCAAACAAGGCAGCAAGGCCTGGAAGGAGTCTTGGCAGCCCAGTGGTGCCCCCCCTCTTTTCTCTTGTTTTGGGGGTTTAGGGTTTAGGGTTTAGGGTTTAGGGTTTAGGGTTTTGGGGTTTAGGGTTTAGGGTTTAGGGTTTCCTCATAAAGTAGCCAGCCCCAAAAAGGGTGCCCTTATTGCAACATGGCTCCTGGAATTACCAAGGGGTTGAAGTGGATGCTGCAACTTTAGATCCTTAGCCTTTTTGGGCTTGTTGGGTTTCTTAATGTGGCAGCGAAGAATTTATTTTCTAGCTACCCTTCTGAGTGCAGCCAAGCCAAGGAGTTGAAGTGGATACCTGAAGACTTCCAGTCCGTCCTCCTGACGCTGTCGCAACTCGTCGCTGCCGAGCTGCACGAGCTGACAGACTTGGAGAAGGAGCCTCAGTCGGCCTTTAAGGGACGATCCTATGAAAACCCTGTGTGAACCCTCTGAACCCTAAACCCTAAACCCTCTAAACCCTAAACCCTAAACCCTAAACCCTAAACCCTAAACCCTAAACCCTAAACCCTAAACCCTAAACCCTAAACCCTAACCTAAACCCTAAACCCTAAACCCTAAACCCTAAACCCTAAACCCTAAACCCTAAACCCTAAACCCTAAACCCTAAACCCTAAACCCTAAACCCTAAACCCTACCGCCATCCTAGGAGCCCAAGGGCACCCTTGGAGCCAACGTCCTGAATGAGCTGGAAAGCTGGGCAGGCAGCCGCCTGAGGCACAGCCTCTACCCAGGCAAAGGTTCCTGCACCGAGCGGCTTGGTAGCCCAGTGGTAGCCCCTTCTTCAGGGTTTAGGGTTTAGGGTTTGGGGTTTAGGGTTTAGGGTGTAGGGTTTAGGGTTTGGGGTTTAGGGCTTAGGGTTTGGGGGGTTTTAGTTGGTTTCAGAGGGTCTTGGGGGGTGGTGGTTTAAGGGCTTTCTTGGCAGCCCAGTGGTGCCCTTTTCTCCAGGCTTTTGGTTCAAGATGCCTTTGTACAGTGGCCAACCCCAAAAAAGGGTACCCTTATTTAAAAAAACCTTTGTAAAGTGACCAACCCCAAAAAGGGCACTGTACCCCTACTACAAAAGGGTTACTGGGCTACCGGTTTAGGGTTTAGGGTTTAGGGTTTAGGGTTTAGGGTTTAGGGTTTAGGGGGACCAAGGCATACAGACTACGGCGTCCTGACGTTGCAGCAGAGCAATGGCTCGGGCTTGGAAGCGTTGATCGGTGGTGCTTGGCGGCCACTTGAACCCCCTCCCGGTGTCTTAGGGGTATTTGGAAACATTGTTTTCCTAAGAAACAGCTAAAAGTGTAGTTTTAAAGCTAGGTCTCTTAGGGGTATTTGGAAACTTTTTTTCCTAAGAAACAGCTAAAAGTGTGTTTTTTGCTAGGGTTCCCAGTTCAGTATAGGTTTTGTGGTGCTCTTTGCGGGGGATATGCTGGAGATCCTGACGAATGGGCGTGTGAGAGCTTTGCATCACCGTGTTTGCATGCACTCGGGTTCCGAAGAGTGTGCTCGCCAGTCAAACATCATTTTCTTGCAGCCTGACAACGACACGCTGGTCCAGCCACTGATGCCTTATCGCCGCTAGATCCCCCTTGGAAATCATTTTTTATTTTTGTTTACATAAAACCCAAAAATATGTAAAGCATCATTTTTAATAAGGTTCTAAGGGGAGTATAGGCAGTGGTCAGCGTGACCTACCAGCTGTGCGCTACGGAGACTGGCACAAGAAGAAGACGAGCCTGGCTTTTCAAAAGCCAGCTTAGGGTGGAGTGTTTCACTGCTTGGGCTGCCACCATGCTGGATGGAAGTACACACATGCACACTGAGCTTTTTGAGGCCTGAGGCACACAAGTGGTGCAGACGTGGTCAAGAAGCACTTCTCTAGGAAAGTCAGCAGTCGCGCAGTGCGGGAATTTGGATGCGCGAAGCAGTCTCCGGAAGATGCACGGAAGACGCTCGGGTAGGCGATGCACCAGGACAATCTGACAAAGCTCTGGACAAGTGCAAGGAGAGGCATAGCGCAGAGGACAAGGGGGTTGTAGACTAGTAGAAGTTGGAATCTCTCACCCCTAGACCCCAAACCCTAAACCCTAAGCCCTAAGCCCTAAGCCCTAAGCCCTAAGCCCTAAGCCCTAAACCCTAAACCCTAAACCCTAAACCCTAAACCCTAAACCCTAAACCCTAAACCCTAAACCCTAAACCCTTTCCCAGCTCCAGACAAACGCCGCGAAGGGCCCATCAGTGTGTGCCAATGAGGATGGTCAAAAGTTCCGGGTCGGGGAGTTTTTGGTTCAGGGCTTAAGGTCTTAGGGGTTTAGGGTTTAGGGTTCAGGGCTTCAGGGCTTAGGGGTTTAGGGGTTTGAGGGTTTAAGGGTTTACGCTTAGAGCCCGTCGACGCGACACGCAATTATGGAAGGCAGATGCCACCGCAGCAAACTGGACCAAGCTTAGGCCTACCCCAAGGCGGGTTTAGGGTTTTAGGGTTTCGGGTTTGCCCCCTGAACCCCCCTGCACGCCCAGGGATGGGTTTAGGAATTTCGGTTTTTTTTTTAAGGGTTCAGGGTTCAGAGCTTCAGGATTTTTCTTTGAGTTTAGGAGATAGGGTTTGGGGTTTCGCGGCTTTAAGATCTCGAGTTTCGGACTTAGGGTTTGAGGGGTCAGGGTTTAGGGTTTCGTGGTTTGGGCTTTCGGGCCTCGGATCCCTTAGCCTTGAAAACCTCTACACTCTGCACCCTCCCTGCCTCCCTAAACCCTAAACCCTAAACCCTAAACCCTAGCCCCTAAGCCCTGAATCATACGCTACCCCAAGCCCTAAACATGCCTAAACATACCCCACTTGGAGGTTCAGGGTACTTAGGGCTTTAGGGTTTAGGGTTTAGGGTTCAGGGTTTGACCCCAATTATAACCCCAAACCCTAAACCCTAAACCCTAAACCTACCTGAACCTACCCCAAGCCCTAAACCCGGGTAACCTTCCCCTGCGGCCCCCAGGTTGTTACGATCGACGCCGAGGAGGCGCGGGGCGAGGGCTGTGCTATATCCCCCTTACGTACTCCTAAACCGTAAACCCTAAACCCTAAAACCCTAAACCCTAAACCCTAAACCCTAAACCCTAAACCCTAAACCCTAAACCCTAAACCCTAAACCCTAAAACCCTAAAACCCTAAAACCCTAAAACCCGAGAGGATATTAAACATGTGTTTTTTTTACTAGGGTTCTAAGGGGAGTATAGGTTAGGGGTTGGGCCAGCTCCCGAAACTTTGGGTTTGGGGTTTGGGGTTTGGGGTTTAGGGTTTAGGGTTTGGGGTTTAGGGTTTAGGGTTTAGGGTATAGGGTTTGGGGTTTAGGGTTTGGGGTTTAGGGTTTAGGGTTTAGGGTTTGGGGTTTAGGGTTTGGGGTTTAGGGTTTAGGGCTTGGGAGGGTTTCAATATGTAGAATCATGCGAGTCTGCAGAGCTGTGTCCATCAGGCCCGAGAATGGAGAGGAGAAAAAAAAAAAAAACAACCCAGCCGCGAGCAACAGGGGACCGGGCCGGTTCAGCTCAGCAAGGAGGAGTACGTGCCATGATGGACCCACCCCCTTGTGTAGACATGTGCTCGCCAGTGGACAAGAAACCATGTCCAATGATGCTTTCTTGTAAAGCGGGCAGGCAGCTCGGTTGCAGGATTCGCAAGTACACCGTCCCACATTGTGTTTTGGTATGCTGTCCAGCGTTCTGGCGATTAGAAAGCACGTGCTCAGCATTGGCATCCTGATCTGAATGTGCGCAGATGGCACATTGGCTGGACAGCAGCTGATTCCTAAACCCTAAACCCGAAACCCTAAACCCTAAACCCTAAACCCTAAACCCTAAACCCTAAACCCTGTTTTGTTCAGGGTTTAGGGTTTGGGTTCAGGGATAGGGGCCATGATTTACACAACTACCTCTATAGGGGCTAGGGGCTTAGAGGATTCTGGGCCCTTTGGGTTTAGTTCAAAGGGTTTAGGGGTTTGAGGTTGGGGCTTTTCGGGCGGATTATCCCAATCCGTCTGGCACTGACCCTAAACCCCAAACCCTAAACCCCAAACCCTAAACCCCAAACCCTAAACCCTAAACCCTAAACCCAAGCCCCAAACCTTAAGATATGTTTCCCAGAAGTCCAGGAAACTGCAAAGCCACGAGTCAAGCGCCTGGGGCCCTCTACGGGTGTGCCTTGGTGTGGTTTGGGCGGGCCTCCGGCCCCAGAAACCCTGAACACTAGATCCTACTTAAACCGTAAGCCCTAAACCGGCCCTAAACCCGAAACCCTTTGTAAACCCAAGCCCGGTAGACCAAACTGGAGCCCTGTGGGGCAGAGCAGGGTTTTGCTGTGTTAGGGTTAAGGCTATCGGGGCGCCCTTGTAAGGTTTAGGGTTCAGGGTTTAGGGTTTAGGGTTTGGGGGTTGTTGAGGCTTTGCCGGACTTTGGATACGTGCCTCAGTTTGGCTAGCGGCAGCATTCGAAAGAGCTAGTTCCCGATATTTCGGAGAGCATTTCGGAGCAGCTGAGCACAGCCCTTGCCATGAGTCGGAGTGGTAAACCCTAAACCCTAAACCCTAAACACTAAACACTAAACTAAACCCTAAACCCTAAACCCTAAATCCTAAACCCTAAACCCCAAACCCTAAACCCTAAACCCCAAACCCTAAACCCCAAACCCCAAACCCCAAACCCCAAACCCCAAACCCTAAACCCTAAACCCTAAACCCTAAACCCTAAACCCTAAACCCTAAACCCTAAACCCGAACCTTAAACCCGAAACCCTACGCTCTCTCTAGCTTCTTTACCTTGGTATGGCAGCTTTCGGACTTGCAGAATAGATCTGTCCATCTGCGAGTCCTACCCTAAACCCGAAACTAAAATAGCCTAGTCAACACAGGGTGTGTGTGTAAGCAGCGTAAGTCCGTTACCCTAAGCCCTAAGCCCCAAGCCCTGAAATCCAAAACCCTGAACTCCAAAACTGGAAGAAATGCCGTTCCCCTAAACCCTAGACCCTAAACCCTAAACCCTAAACCCTAAACCCTACACCCTACACCCTACACCCTAAACCCTCAACCCTAAACTGGAAGAAATGCCGTTTGTCGGCGTGCCTCTGAGGCTCTGCGCAAGTGGGGCGGCGTTGGCTTCAAGGTTGCGGGGGTGACATGTTCGGGGTTCAGGCGTATGCCTTCGGATTGATTTAGGTTGTATGGGTAATTACCAAAGTAGGGGTACCCTCTTTCTACCCAGGTCCCTTAATATGGTTCCCCTTACCTTCGTAAAGGGTTCTAAAGTATGAGTGGGTTTTATAGGGTATATAAGGGTTATATAAGGGGTCCCGATTTGAGGGCCCATACTAGGTGACCATGTAACTACCCTAAGACTAGGGTACGGGTAGGGCAGTCGGCTACAAAGGTGGCGGGGGGCTCCCTAAGTATAAACCCAAACCCAAAGCTCCCTAAACTCCCTAAACTTTCTCCGTAAACTGCCTGAACCCTAAGTTCCTACCCAGACCTGCTTAGGACATGCCGACCCCTATGATGCCTGGGCCCAGAACTACACCCGACAGCTACCAACACTATCGCTTGGAGCTACTATGCAAGCCTAAAGAGTTGTGTTGAGTGTGAGCTGCACCGTGCAGTACTCCGCCTGGGGTACCATGTTCATTGAGCGCGAAAATCCTGACAAGTCCAAGACTATTCTCATCACACCCCCTTCTTCAAACTCAAGGTTATAACCGAAAGCTGAGCGAAAGACCTTACTTTCAAAAGTCAAGTACGTAAGGTTCTGTCCTTCAGTCGTCTCCTCTCTCGAGTGATGACCCTGACCCCTAAACCCTAAACCCTAAACCCTAAACCCTAAACCCTAAACCCTAAACCCTAAACCCTAAACCCTAAACCCTAAACCCTAAACCCTAAACCCTAAACCCTCAACCCTCAACCCTAAACCCTAAACCCTAAACCCTAAACCCTAAACTTTCATTCCTAAACCCCAAGGGTTGACCTCGCGCTTGTAACCCAAGCTTGTGTGTCGTACTAACTTTCGTCAAAAGCACTTATCTAAGGGTAGTTACATGGTCTCTTAGTATGGGCCCTGTACCCCGTATATAACCTATACAACCCAAGGGCCCATACTTCAGAACCCTTTCAAGGAGGTAAGGGACCCTAAACCCTTAACCCTAAATCCTAAACCCTAAACCCCTAACCCCTAACCCCTAAACCCTAAACCCTAAACCCTAAACGACCTTTAGAACTTCGCAGGTCCGACAGGATGGTCTGGCGCGCCGCCCGCGGAGGAACGACTTCGTGAAAGAGAAGGCCGCTTCGTCCCTACGCCTTACTTAGGGTTTCTAAAGCGGGTTTAGGGTTTAGGGTTTAGGGTTTAGGGTTTAGGGTTTAGGGTTTAGGGTTGAGGGTATGGCTTCGCATGCTGTAAGGCAGACCAAGAATCTGTCACAGCACTCCCGCAAGCCCATCGTCTAGCCCAACAACCCCCAAGCCATTCTCACAAGGAACTCGCGAATCGTGGCTTGGGCTGTGCGGTTGAGGTTCGGGGGATCGAGCATGGAGACGTGTGGAGGATGGCACAAGCAGGAGCGCGGGAAAAAACGAAGTCCAGTCTAGAGCAACACGGGTTGCCTTGCAGTGAACAAGGACGCCCAAACCCTAGGCCTTAAACCCAAAACCCCTATTCCCTGAGAGGTTTAGCGGTTCCCTTACACCCTCGAACATTCCCAACGCTTGCGAATCCCAAGTCTAACGCAGGAGCATGGAAGTATTTGCCAGAATAATCGCCCGGCAATCCCGATATGGACTAGAATGGAGCTGCCCCAAATTGATCCCCAACCTATTTGGGGCTTTACGGAAATAAGGAAAACCCCAAAATAGACCCCAAAAGTAGGGTTCCCTTATAATCAGAACCCCAGAAAGGTATCCCCAAAAATTTCGGAAACCCCCTTTGAAGTAGGCCCCTTTAATACCTCCTCATCCTCAACTCCTCATTTGGCATGCCAGGATTGGAGGGCGAAATGGACTCCAAAGCGTGAGGCATGGGAAGGCCCGTGCTCCTGGGGCGGGGTTTAGGGTTTAGGGTTTAGGGTTTAGGGTTTAGGCTTTAGGCTTTAGGCTTTAGGGTTTAGGGTTTACGGTTTTGGGAGAAGTAGGGGCTGTGTCAGGGCTTTCCGTAACGTTGGTCGGGTTTCAGGTTGCGGATTTGAGACGTAGGGTTTGGGCTTTGGAAAGCGCGAAACCCTCAGACCCAAATCCAAATATCAGCATAACTTTTGCCTCGAACCTTAAACCCTAACTCAAACCCTTGCTTAAACCCACAGTAAACCTCACAGTCGCAGCGAGAGGCCACCTACTTTGGGGGTCGGAAAAATTACCTGTCATATTCCCTTATCGTCCCTTTGCAAGTATACTATAATGACCCCCGAAACACTATTCTATTTATTCAGTTACATGCTGCACGAGGCCTAAACCCTAGGCCCTAAACCCTAAACCCTGAACCCTGAACCCCAAGCCCTAAACCCTAAACCCTAAACCCCAAACCCCAAACCCTAAACCCTAAACCCTAAACCCTAAACCCTAAACCTAAACCCCAAACTCCAAACCCCAAACCCTAAACCCTAAATCCTACAGCCTGCAGCTTGGGTCACGGACGACGAGGGCGGCCTGGCCTTCGGAGACTTAGCTGTCGGCCATGAGGCAGAGCTTCGGGCCTTTCGGGCTTCAGGGTTGTTTAGGATGTTTAGTTTTTTTTTTTTTTGGGGGGGGGGGGGGGGGGGGGGTAGGTTTAGGGTTTTGTTAGGGTTCTTAGGTTATTCTTTTGCTTCTCCGGTTTTTACGGTTTTGTTGGGTTTTTGGGGTTTGAGGGTTTTAGGTGTTTATAAGCTCCATGAGGCAGAGCTTGGGGGCCTGTTGGGCTTTAGGGTGTTTGGGTTCGAGGGTTTTAGGGTTTAGGGTTTAGGGCTTTATGGTGTTGGGGGTTTAGGGTTTGAGGGCTGAGGGTTTGAGGGTTTTAGGTGTTCTCGGGCTTTAGGGTTTTCATGTTTTTGGGGCTTTAGGATTTGAGGGATTTAGGGTTTCAGAGTTTCAGGATTTTTTGGTTTTATGGTTGTAGGTTACAGGGCCTATAACTATTACAGGGTCAGGATTGTGTAAAGTGCATGGGCTGATCACACCGTTTTTTTGGGGTTTGGATCTTTATGGGGTCGTGAGTTTTGGGTTCGTAGGTTTTTTTGACTTTAAGTAGGGTCGAGGGTGCATAAGGGCGATTGCTAGAGTTGAGGCTTTCGGGTTTTCATATACGGCCTGCAGGGTTGGCAGGGCTTGGGAGTTAGGAGTTAGGAGTTAGGGTTTAGGGTTTAGGGTTTAGGGTTTAGGGTTTAGGGTTTAGGGTTTAGGGTTTAGGGTTTAGGGTTCAGGGTTCAGGGTTCAGGGTTCAGGGTTCAGGGCTTCGGGCTTTCAGCTAAACTCTCAACCCCCTTGGGATGTGACCTTGGACCCTAAGGTTGTACCCTTGGGTTTGGAGCTCTCCTTGGAGATCCACTAAGGCAATATAAGGGCCAAATTAGGAGCATTTTTTACGGGACTCTCTTAGGGTACGTCCTTAGGGGTCCGAGTATCCTACTTTGGGGCACCCCAGCTATACTGCAAGTTGCGTCAGGGGTTTCGTGCTTGGGCAGATAAACTCTAAACCCTAAACCCTAAACCCTAAACCCTAAACCCTAAACCCTAAACCCCAAGCCCTTTGACAGCCCAGGGCGAGCAGCTGAACCCTGAATCCAACGCCCACATCCCCAAAAGCCCTAGAAACTCGATCATCCCCGTCAACGCCATAAACCCATAAGCCCCATAAACCCTATGAACCCTATGAACCCATAAACCCTACAAACCCATAAACCCTATGAACCCATAAACCCTATAAACCCTATGAACCGTACGAACCGAACGCCTTAGCCACAAAGACCCCGATTCCACTTGTGTCTGTATGTGTTCGCAGCTGCGGAGCTGAGGTCTTTTGGGTTTTTGGGGGGCTTTGGGCCTAGGCGTTGAATGGCTTGCTGCGCAGCGCCTTTTGTGCTAGCTCTTGCGTAGGGCTTGGGTTTTGGGTTTGGGTGTAGGGTTCAGGGTTTATGAGTTTAGGGGTGTAGGGTGTAGGGGTTAGGGTGAAGGGTCTAGCTGTTTCCATGGGGCACGTAGCTGCCGCGCTGCCAACATGAAGACCAGAAAACCAGCTCCGCGTATGCCATGTATCTTTAGGTGGGTAGTTTCGGTGGATAGATCTACGTAGTGCATCCAAACCATTGTAAACATCCGGCACATCTGCTCTGTTGAGGAACCAGTATGTCTGAAGGGGTTCGACTCGAAGTATGACTCCTTGACTAATCCTAAGCCTGAAACCCTAAGCCCTAAGCCTTAAGCCCTAAGCCCTAAGCCTTAAGCCCTAAACCCTAAACCTTAAACCCTAAACCCTAAACCTTAAACCCTAAACCCTAAACCCTAAACCCTAAGCCCTAAACCCTAAACCCTAAGTAAGATCCTCAAAACCCCTTCTTCCCAAGAGCCTCCACTCTGTGGCCGGGCCCCTTCGGCCCCTGGGCAGACGCCGCCGTGGAGGCCCCATTGTTCAGGGTTTAGGGTTCAGGGTTTAGGGTTTAGGGTTTAGGGTTAGTGTAAAGTGCTTGAGGATGATTTGTGGGGGAGGATGATTGGCGGTTATGGCCGGTAAGTTCGATCAAGAGTTCGGGGGGTGGAGGATATCAAGGGGTTTAGGCTTCAGGGCTATTTTGGTGGTTTTGAGTTTCCTATGTGTCGATGACGTGGGGGGGGGGATTCCTGTCTCAGGCTCCTGCGCTTTCGGCCGCGCCGCATGCCGGGCCCGGAGCCTGGTCATCGAAAGATGATCCGCCTGAGCCAGGCCGCATTCTTAAACACTAAACCCTAAGCCCTAAGCCCTAAACCCTAAACCCTAAATCTAAGTCCTACTATATATACCCTATAAGCCCTCTTGCCCTAAACCCTAAATTTCCATCCCGGCCTGCTTGGGCTGCACCCAGCCTTTTCTAGGGTGCCTTGACCCAGAGCTGCACCCGACAGCCCACTAACACCATCGCTTGGAGCTACTATGGCAAGCCTAAAGAGTTGCACGAGTGTGCTTAGGGTTTAGGGTTTAGGGTTTAGTTAGGGTTTAGGGTTTAGGGTTTAGGGTTTAGGGTTTAGGGTTTAGGGTTTAGGGTTTAGGGTTTAGGGTTTAGGGTTTAGGGTTTAGGGTTTAGGGTTTAGAGCTGCCACTCCCCTGCCGGTGCATTGAAATGCCCCCTTTGTCCCTGTGACTGGCGCTATCCTGGATGTCTGGGGAGCCTAAACCATGTGGGCTACAACTTAAAAGGGTTTTGAGGGTGTAGGGTTTCCAACCCCTCAGCGCAAAACCCTACAGCCAGGCAGCAAGTCGATTCGTCATGAAAGCGCGCCTGTGGGTTTAGGCCAGCGGGTCAACCCAAACCCTAAACTTTCAACTCTTTAATCCCCAAACCCTAAACCCTAAACCCCAGACCCTAAACCCTAAACCCTAAACCCGACAGAGCAACCCAGGAACACTTGTCCAGGCCTCTCTCTCGTGGCCGCCCGTGCGCGGGAGAGCGCATGGGCCGACGCCCTCTCGCTGGCAGCTCAGTTCTGTCATGGAGGCCGGAGGGTTTAGGGTTTAGGGTTTGGGGTTTAGGGTTTAGGGCTTAGGGTTAATTAGGGTTTAGGGCCTTAGGGTTGAGGGTTGAGGGTTTAGGGTTTAGGGTTTAGGGCCTTAGGGTTTAGGCTTTAGGGCCTTAGGGTTTCGGGTTAGGGTTTATTGAAACTATTCAGGGTTCAGGTCCGGGGAAGGAGTTTCGAGGCGTTTCTGTTCTGACGTTTTTGCTATTTTTTTTAAAACTATTTCAATTTGCAGGGTGAAAGGCCTCAAGGGGTTCCAGCTCCACGAAACTTACTGGCTCTTAGACGGGACTTTGGGAATTTAGGTGCCCTATAGACCCCTTAAGGGCATGTAGGCGTTATAAGGTACCCTAAACCCTAAACCCTAAACCCTAAACCCTAAACCCGAAACCCCTAAACCATCTTGGTCTGGGATCTCTTTGGGCTCCGCGCAGTGCAGAGCTTGTTCGGCCCACGGCCTGGCTGGCCCCGTGGTTTCGGCTTCGGGGATTGGACACTAAACTCTAAACCCCAAACCCCAAACCCTAAACCCTAAACCCCAAACCCTAAACCCTAAACCCTAAACCCTAAACCCTAAACCCTGCGAACCCTCAGAAGGGCCCTCTTGCTGTTGCGAGGAGAGCCCCGGAGCGTGGCGGGCGAGAATGCCGCCATTGGCGCCTGGCTCAGGCAGAGGGTTCTAATCAACTCAACCTATATGCACCAGGGTTTAGGGCTTCGGGCTTAGGGTTTAGGGTTTAGTTTCCGAAACTGGGGTACGAATCCTACTATTGGGGTCTATTTGACTTGGGGTCTATTTTAAGGGTCCCTGACTTTTCGTACACCCGCGTATGCATCAGGCCTATGTTCTCCCAGACGGGCGAAGGTGATTCTTCAAAAACCGCCAAGTCTGTTAAGAAAATCCAGCTGAAGAACAAAGCGACCGAAGAGAAGAAGGACCGACAATGTGAGTGAGGTGCTCAACAACGCCAAGACGATTATGGAGAGCAAGTCCATCTCATTTGAGACATTCCTTGAAACCCTAAACCCTGAACCCTAAACTCTAAACCCAGCCTTTGGTTGGGCAACCTCGTAAGGCTGCAGACCTACATGATGAGAGACAAATCACGTCTTCACATGAATATGACGCTCTTTCGGGTCGGATGCCCGAGGTAGCTTGGATTGATTATTTACCCTAAGGGTCCATGTACCTAAATATTGAATGCTTGGGCCTTAAAAGTACTTCCTACATAGGGACTTTGGGGAGTATAGAATAATGAGGTGCATGGACCCTTAGGGCTATATAAGGGGTTGTTTGAATATGGCCTTGAATAAAAAGCGGAGGATTTGAGGCATGGTGTGGTCGTGTCAAGTTGCTCTGACGCCCCTAAGCACCAAAACCCTGATACCCAAAGCTTCGAGTTATCCTTTGCCTTTAATATCTAGGATGCCCAGTAGTACCCTTATTCCCTTTTTTGGGGGGTTTAGGTTCCCTTATAAACCCCCTGTAAGCAAAAAAGGGCACCCCTTTTAAGCCTAGGTTACTGGGCAGCCTAGATATGCACCCCTAGCAAGCCCACTGTTTCTAAAGCCCAAGGAGCCACAAGGCCTAAAGCCAGGGGCATGTAAGAACGTATCTAGATCCGGAGTCTCTCTTGAGAAGGAACTCCTACACCCCAACCTCAAACCCTAAACCCCAAACCCCAAGCCCGAAACCCTAAACCCTAAACCCCAAACCCCAAACCCTAAACCCTAAACCCTAAACCCTAAACCCTAAACCTCCAAGCAACCCGAAAGTCCTCGCAGGGGCCACCGGTGGGCGGCGGGTCTCTGTCTGCTTGCCAGGCTCTTTTCGGCAGGTTTGGCACTTGGAGGTTGAGAATTTAGGGTTTAGGGTTTAGGGTTTAGGGTTTAGCGTTTAGGGTTTAGGGTTTAGGGTTTAGGGGTTCCTTGAACCCTAACTTGGGGTTTAGGGGTGGGGGGTTGAGGGTTTTGGCTTAGGGCGAGATTTAGGGCTCCTCGACGAGCCCCAACCGAAGCGCACGCCCCGTGTGTTTGCAGGCTTTGCGACAGAGCCCCGTGTGTTAGTTGCACGACCTGAAAGCATGCAGAACCGACGCCCAACCCATTGTGTTGGAGCTTTGAAATCCCCATGGAGCTTTGGCCGTTCCAGATAGGGAAGCATATGGAAGATACCTTGGGATGTTCCCCCTTATACTAGCAATCCTTAATCGGGATCATAGCCCCCCCCCCCCCCCCCCCCCCGCAATTTCACTCCCTAGTAAGGACTGCTAGTATATTGGGCCAAGGTCCCAAAAGATACAGAACAAGTCTAGGAGGCTTGTGGGCCTAAGCTGCACGGACCCCTCATCCCCAAGACCTCTTCCAGCCCAAACCTTGGCCACCTAATTGCTGCCGTCCTGCTGATTTTGCTTGCGGCTTCTGTGCTTCATCTACCTGGAGGTTCATGGGCACTGAGAACTTTATTTGTAACTGTACTTATGAACCCCCTAAGTCCCCTAAGTAGGTCATAAGTAGACTTATCATTGGGGTTATAAGTACCCATGAACCTCCAAACCCTAAACCCTAAACCCTAAACCCTAAACCCTAAACCCTAAACCCTAAACCCTAAACCCTAAACCCTAAACCCTAAACCCTAAACCCTAAACCCTAAACCCTAAACAATAAACCCTAAACCCTAAACCCTAAACCCTAAACCCTAAACCCTAAACCCTAAACCCTAAACCCTAAACCCTAAACCCTAAACCCTAAACCCTAAACCGATCCACCAAGTAGGGGTTGGTCGCCTACCCATGTGGCAGACCTTAAGGCGTTCGCAGCTCTGAAGCTCTAAGCTGTGAGCGCTAAGCCCCAAGCCCTGGGACCCTCAAAGCCCGTAACATAGGGGCCTGTGGGTTTAGGGTTTAGGGTTTAGGGTTTAGGGTTTAGGGTTTGGGGTTTTGGGGTTTTAGGGTTTAGGGTAGAATAGGGCCTTTTGGGGTTTTAGAGTATAACTTGTGGAGTGACCATAAGGGAATACTATTAGCAATGATTCCGGCCCCGACATGGCACCTCACCAAGCAGGCTCATGCAGAGACCCGTGCATCCACTTCCCGCTATCACCTGAGACATACGGGCATAGGGGCATTAGACTCCAAACAGAATCCCAGCAAAGTGGGGTTTACCTTAAACCCTAAACCCTAAACCCTAAACCCTAAACCCTAAACCCTAAACCCTAAACCCTAAACCCTAAACCTCTGGGGTTTAGGGTTCAGGGCGCCAGGTTCCAGGAGCGCCGGTTGGAGTCCAGCATCGTCACCTTCAACACCTTGGCCGCAGCCCTGACGACACAGAACGTGTTGAGGGCTTAGAGTTTTTAGAGGGCTTTTAAGGGTTTTTAAGGTTTTTTTTTTTTTTTTTGGGGGGGGGGGGGGGGTATGGGGGGCGGGGGGGGGTAGGGGGCTCTTTCGGGGTCTTAGGGATTTAGGGTTTAGGGTGGGGCTTTTAGGGGTTTTAGGGATTTAGGGATTTGGGGTTTAGGGTTTAGGGCTTTCTAGGTCCAGCCCTTTTGAAAAGCTCTGTGGAAGCCTCAAGATCCGAAGGAATCTGGGGCCATGCCTTGGAGGTCCTTGAGAAGCCTTGGAGCCTAAAGGCCATGAATTGGGGGCATCCTCTCATGTGGTTCGACCCAGACTGAGAGGGCGAATTTTTTTAAGTACAGAAATAGGATGCTAAATCCTACTGTAAATCCGAAGCTCAGATCCGAAATCCTAAATCCTAAGCCCGAAGGCCTAGATCGTGAATTCTAAACCCTAATCCTATATCCTAAGTCTATATCCAGTACTGAAGGCCAACAGGCGGGGAGGGGGGCGGGGCGGGGGGCGACCAGGATTTGGTTAGACCCATAAGAAAAGCGCTTTTTTGTTTTAGAATTCGATGGTTCTGGTGACCCTTTCGTTTCTGGATCTGGGGAGTGCTCACTCCTAAATCCTACACATCCTAAAACCAAATTCCCAAATTCTGAATTCTGGCAATGGGCTGGGGTGACCCTTAGGAGTTAGGTTTTGTGGTTCCGTTGCCCTGCCGCCAAATCTTGAGCCCTGAGATATCTGAGCATCACCCTAAACCCTAAGCCCTCAACCCCAAACCCTAAACCCCAAACCCTGAACCCTAAACCCTAAACCCTAAACCCTAAACCCCAAACCCCAAACCCCAAACCCTAAACCCTAAACCCTCAGCAACCGCACACTTCCTGCTCAAGTTTCGGTTTTTAAGGCGGTCAGGCCATATAGCGCACCGTGTTGAATGCGGGCGCTGGCGCCGGCCGATGCCTACGTTGCTGCTCGCGTTTGGAGGCCTTGTGGCTGCCGCAGGCGCATCGGAGCTGGCTGAGAGGTCCCTTCGAGGTGTCCCGCCTGCATGTAGGCGGCAGGCAGCTGAAGGGCCCAAACTCCCAGGACCCCAGAACCTAAAACCCTAAACCCTAAACCCTAAACCCTAAACCCTAAACCCTAAACCCTAAATCCTAAATCCCTAAACCCTAAACCCTAAAGCTCCAAGAGGCAGCCAAGAAGTATCCAAGGCCCTAAGCCACGAAGCTTCGCACCTTAGAACTCAGATGGTCATGTCCCAAACCCTCCATCCTAACCGCCAAACCCCTAATCTGCCTAACCCCTAAACCCTAAACCCTAAACCCTAAACCCTAAACCCTAAACCCTAAACCCTAAACCCTAAACCCTAAACCCTAAACCCTAAACCCTAAACCCGGACCACAGTTTAGAGAAGTGACCGGATGGCCTTCAGGACCTATCGCAACCCAAGCTGAGCCCCAGAGGCCGGCAGTTCATTGCTGACTCGCGAGATTGGCTCCGTAAATATATGGTAGGAGCTCCAAAAGTGCTGTCTAGAGCTTAGCACCCTCAACCCTACACCCTAAACCCTACACCCTAAACCCTAAGCCCTAAACCCTAAGCCCTAAATCCTTAACCCCTAAACCCTAAGCCCTAAGCCCTAAACCCTAAGCCCTAAGCCCTAAGCCCTAAGTCCCCAAACCGTCACTCTAGAGAAGCCACCTCAGTCGTTGAGCTCGTCTTTGACTCGACAAGGTGAAAAGGATTGGGGACACCAACACAAAACTTGGTTTAGGGTTTAGGGTCTAGGATTTAGGGTTTAGGGTTTAGGGTTCAGGGTTTCGGGATGTTCCCTGTGATACTAGCAGTCCTTAATGGTGATTATAGTACCCCCTGTTATACTCCCATTAAGGAGTCTTAGTAGAAGGGGGAGCACCCCAACCCCAAACCCTAAACCCCAGATACGTGTCGGTTCTCATTGGGGAATGAGGGAATGAGGTGTCTCATATCATCCCTTTAAACGGTGTGTGTGTGTGTGTATCTATATACACATTATATATATATATATGTATATATATATATATATGTATGTATATATATATATATAGATAGAGGGGATATGAGGTACCCAAATTTCCTCATCCTAGGTCGGCTTTGGTGGGTTTTGGGGCAGCAGAGCTTTTGGGGGAACTTTTGACTCGGTGGTTTCGCGGGGCCTTGGGGATTGGGGACTTTTGGGCTGTTGGGGGTTGAGGGTTTGGAGTTTGGGGTTAGTTTTTCTTTTGGAAGGGGGGGGGGGGGGACTTTTTGGAGGGTTGAGTAGAGCTTGGGGTCTTCGGTTAACCCGTCGCCTGAAATCCTCCGAAGTCACAACGGAACCAAGGCGACCCAAAAGGTTTAGGGTTTAGGGTTTTAGGCTTTATTATAGGCAGGGTTTTAGAGAATTAGGGTTTTAGGGTTTAGGATCAAAGGTTCAAATGGAGGATCTTGAAGAGGAACAGCAAAGTTCGGGCCACTTAAAGGAAGACCTTAAACCCTGAAACCTGCACGCTAAACCAAAACCCTAAACCCTAAACCCCAAAAGCTAAACCCTGCAACGCAGGAATCTGCAGCAGCGTGTGCCTTCACGCGATCAAACTGTGGTGCCTAGCTGTCTGCCTGGCTACGTTGATGTGTCTGAAGGCCACTTGGTCTGGGGTTTAGGGTTTAGGGTTTAGGGTTTAGGGTTTAGGGTTTAGGGTTTAGGGTTTAGGGTTTAGGGTTTAGGGTTTAGGGTTTAGGGAGCCTCTAAACCCTGAATTTAGGATTTGGTGAGGGCTGGGTGAAGGATTCACAGGCTTCAATAGTTTAGGGGTTCAGGGTTGAGTTAACGTTAAGGTATTGGTTCAGTGTTTGGGGGAGGGTTTAGGTGACTGGGGCGCCCTAAGCCCTACACCCTAAACTCTAAACCCTAAACCCTAAACCCTAAACCCTAAACCCTAAACCCTAAACCCTAAACCCTAAACCCTAAACCCTAAACCCTAAACCCTAAACCCTAAACCTCAAACCCAGACTAGCTGAGGCAACGCGTTTTTCTGGCCCTGCGCCGCGCAATGCGTGGGCGGCCCATACTACGCCATGAGGAGCTAACCCTCAACCCTAGCCCTAAACCCGAAACCATAAACCCTAAAGCCTAAACCCTAAACACTAAACCCTAAACCCTAAACCCTACGCCACGAGGAGCTGCCGCTGTGCTTGCCTCACGCCTGGGGAGGCAGCGGAGGTGTTGACCACGTCCCAGTCCCTCAGCCCGTTTTAGGGTTTAGGGTTTAGGGTTTGGGGTTTGGGGTTTGGGGTTTGGGGTTTGAAGCCCTCGGACCTCAGCAGACCTGAAATGCCGAAGGGTCTTGCTGCAGTTGCTTGCCAAAGCCTTCGAAAAAAGAAACCAAGAGCCGCCCAACCGGCTAAGGCCTCCTACGACGTCACTCATGGTTGTGGCCACTTGGCATTTGAGGGCACCTGGGGGGGGTGTTAGAGGCCTCCAACGCCTTAAATGCCCGATATGCCCGATCTGAGCCCTACAGTAAGTGGCCGAAGCTCTGAACCCTAAGCCCTACTAAACCCTAACTCTAAACCGTAAACTCTAAACCGTAAACTCTAAACCGTAAACCCTGAACCCTAAACCCTGAACCCTAAACCCTGAACCCTGAACCCTGAACCTAAACCCTAAACCCAACCCTAAACCCTAAACCCTAAACCCTATACACCCCCCAAGCCCTAAACCCTCAACCCTAAACCTTCAACACCCTCAACCCTAAACCCTGAACCCGGGACCCTAAACACTCCCTAAACCCCAAGCCCGAAGCCCTCCCTAAACTCTAAACCCTGAACCCTAAACACTCCCTAAACCCTAAACCCTGCACCCTAAACCCTGAACCCTGAACCCTAAACCCTAAACCCTAAACCCTAAACCCTAAACCCTAAACCCTAAACCCTAAACCCTAAACCCTAAACCCGACCAGCCCAAGCCCCCTAAGCTCAGGAAAGCCTCTCGGATCGGGCGTCGGAAGTGATGATGATAGTGCTGGGGTTCGTCCTCATGTGCGTCGTGGTTGGGGCCCCCTTGTCTGAAGTTTAGGGTTTAGGGTTTAGGGTTTAGGGTTTGCCGTTCCCGGTTGCGGGGCGATCTGCAGAACTCCATGCCGGCAGTTTCGTTAGGGGCTTAGGGAAGAAGGTTTGTGCCATCGAGTGAACTTCGTGGTGCTTTACTGCAACTTTAGATCCTTAGCCTTTTTGGGTTTATTGGGTTTCTATACAAGGCAGCTAGAAATTAAATTTATAGCTACCCTGCTAAGTGCAGCCAAGTAAAGTTTGAAAGCATCATCCCAACGAGGTTATGACGATCCTCTCGGAGGGGGTTCGGGTTTAGGGGTTTTTAACGACCAAGCAACCTCCTGCAGCTTCTCCTGTAGATGTGATCATGGAGTGTCGCGTTGTGGGATGTAGGGTTTATATATATATACATATATATGTTTATATATACACATATATATATATATATACAGGAAATGGTATTTAGGGTGAGGGTCGGGTTTTGATAGCCCAGCAATCGGAGATGTGTTCAGTGAGTTTGGGGTTTGGAGTTTGGGGGTGTAGGGCTTAGGATGAATTAAGGGGTTAAGGCATTTAATAAAGGGTTTTAGGCATCAGGGTCTAAAGCCTGAGGCTCTGACGGGTGGCGTCAGTATTTAGGCTGCAACCTGAAGCCGTAAACCCTAAATGGGGGTTTACGAAAATAAGGGACCCCTAATCTAGACCCCAAGAGTAGGATTCCCTTATCATAAGGACCCCATAAGGTACCCCTAATTTCTGAAACCCCGGCATCTGGCTTCTGTTTGCCTCAGGGTTATGCGTGCGTCAGCATAAAGCCCTAAGCCCGAGATCCGTGGGCACAGACCCTGCTTTAGGGTTCAGGCTTCAGGGTTTCGGGTTTAGGTATTTAG